GCTTCCTCCCCGTGGTTATTAAATAGCAAATTCCCTTCTCTTCTCTTCCCGTGAGGGGTTAGTAGATACTATGACCTGGTTTCTTCTATCACATCTCTAATACCCTTTGGATGGCTAGTGTGGATCAATATGTGCATGAAGCCATGTGAACCTCGGGTGCATAGTGTAGGCAGTGGGTAGGGTGAGGTCTTCCCTTACCCACTATGGAAACTCACTTCTCTGCCCACCCCCTGTGCTGTTTCTCTCTCTGACCCGTCCAGGCTGCAGTGGGCAGGCAGATGCTCCTGGGTCTTGGATGCACCGGGCTCTGATGATTGGCAGCGGGAATGAGTTAGCCTGGAGGCGGTGAGACTGTTGCTCTACAACCACAGAAGAGCCATTCTTGTAGAGCGAGGCTGGAAGCCACAAAGCAGAGATCCTCTCGGAGGAGCTTTTGAACAACTGAAGGGGTTCCGAGTGGCCCGGTTGTTGAAATGACTGCACTTGTCAAAAAAAGTGGGCATGTTGGAGAGCGGATAGAACGGCAGGGTGTCTGAGGAGCATCTGCTGCATCAGGAGTCTGGGTGCTAAAGCCTGATCTCTGGGTCTCTTGCTTTTAGCTGCCTACAAAGCAAAATAAAGGAATGACTTTTTCCTGTGTGCACATGCCTGCGCGCGCGCATGTGTGTGTGTGTGTGTGTGTGTAAGATGCTTGTCGGTAGCTTTTTAATTTCTGCTATGCCTTCTTTCTTGCTTTGAGCTCTCCCTGTCTTCTGATGGTTTGCCTCCTTCTCTCCAGGCCGAGGGTGGAGACTTCTGGACTGGAATAAACTGAGGGCCGGGGGAGGTGGGAATTGGAGAGGGGCTGGCTTGAAAGCAAACAGCTTGCACCAGTCTAGGGAGCAGGAAGGGGTCTCTGGGTGGCACTAACAGTTCAGCTGAAGAGTTAGTGGTTCAAACACATCTACGGGCAGCTCAGAAGACAGGACCCTTCTAAAGGTTAAAAATAAAAACAAACAACCCCAAAAAACCGAGAGCAAATGTTTTGAGAACGATGAGGGCAATGAATGTACAAATGTGCTTGACACAATGGATGCATGTATGGGTTGGGATAAGAGCTGTATGAGCCCCAATAAAATGATTTAAAAAAAAGAAGTCTGCCCTTGGCTTCTGGTCCTTCTGCTCCCCTGTCCCCACCCCTCCCCACGGTCCCGTCTTCGTCCCACGCGTCTAGATCGTTATGGCTACTGGACATGCCTTGGAAACACTGGTGTGAAGAGAAACATTGAGTTTCTATGGGAGAAGGATGATTTCTTACTGACGTAAGCACCCTGCCTTGATTCAAAGCACTACGAGACAAAAATGACAGGGGACCTTTGAGTTCCTTTGAGCATCGGACTCCTGACATTGGTCATGTTGGTAGAACTTAGCATGATAGCATGTCTATCCTAAATGACTGCCAATGTCTACTCCGGTCCCCACGGTGGGATAAAAGGAAACAGAGTAGTACTACAGAAAGGCAGTAAGAGAAGCGGGAAGAATCACTGGACTGACATGCCTTGGACATGTGGATCTAGAAATGCCTGAGCAGCTGACCAGGAGGTTCTAAACAGGGTGCAGGGTTGTGAGCTAAGGAAACAGCCCATGGAAAGAGAGCCTTTGGCTGGTTAGAGAAACGGGAAGACAGCCAGGGCAGGTGGGTTCGACCTAGTTAGGGCCAGGTACTCTTGTATCATAGCAATGAGATGGAAGAGAAAGGCCAGGCCAAGTACTGCAGAATTTGGATTTTATTTTAAGTACAGGAAGAAACAATGGAAGGATTTTTAACTAGGAAATTGACACCTGGCTTAGTTTCTTGCTTTATTTTTCCCTCCCTCCCTCTGTCTCTCCCTCCTTCCCTCCCTCCCTTTTTTCCTTTAG